GGGTGTCGCGATTGCACGTGGGAAGGGGTAGGGCCGGGGTCTGTCTGCTGCTGTCGAGACTGCGGTCGGGGAGTCCCCTTTCTGCACGGAAGGAGAGGGGAAGATAGCAATAACCCAGAGGTATCGCTGAAATTCTTCCCTGATCCCCGTGTATTTCTAGTACTTGTGTATTTCGAGTAGTTGAGCTCAGATTGGTGTTTTGTCTCTTCTCTCAATTCCTTTTTTGATAGCTGTTACTGTCGTATATTGGGACCTTTTTTTCTCCCTCTTCCACGAAGGTGAAGAAGGTTGCATAGCTGTACCCCTGTAACCCCGCAGGTTGGCAATCAGAAGCGTATGGGGAGGTGACAGCAGCGTGTTGAAACACTCGTGTGGCCTCGCTTCTCAAAGTTCCAGCGCCCCTGTTGTTTGCAGCAGGACTTCTGTATTCTCCAGGGAGAAAACTCGTGGGCTGGAGAGACGGCTTGCTTTTGTTCTGTGAAGTTCTACTGGGATTTGGCTGAGGAGCTTTTCATAATCCTTGTTTCCCTTTTGCTGATTATGTTGTTAATATGCCAGAATAAGTGCGTGTTAGTGTACTAATCCAAAACCGGGCCTGTGCTGCTGTAGCAACAGCATCACCTTGCCTGTGCTAGCACTTATTTTAAGAAATCTTCCACTGCTTTCTCAAGAATGATGGTTAAGTCCTTTCCCTGGACAGCTCTTGCCTGCTGCTGCGTGTTAATGTCATACACCTTAACTTGTGCTGTGATCTGGAGGGGTAAGGTTCATGCATCCCTGCTGATGAGGATGTTAGTTACGCTTATTTATTTATGATCTTGCCCTGCCCCCTTCTCCCAAAAGTACAAAATATTATTAGAAGACCTTTGTTTGGTAGGCAAGCTAAATTACTGGAAGACTGAAAAATACACTGGCAAATTTAATCTTCCTTCCACTCTATGTGCATAGAATCATAGAATCACTGGGTTGGAAAAGACCTTAGAGATCATCCAGTCCAACCAGATCTGTCTGCCACTAAACCATATCTCTCAGCACCTCATCTACCCGTCTCTTAAACATCTGCATAATTGCTCCATAGTGGTCAAGTTTGATCCAGAGAAGAAGTAGATTCAGAAGGTGGATTAGGGTTGTATTGCAAACTGAGACTTTTTGAGGGGTCTCTCTCTCATTCTTTTCCAAAATTAGAAGATGTTAGAGAACAGGAGGATCCCAGCAGAATGGGCAAAGCCTGTGGAAAAGCAGTGTTTATGCTTGGCTTCTTGAACTTACTTTCTTTTATATTAAATTATTCTTTTACTCAGTTACCTTCTCAATTTTGGATTATGTTTCCCTTGCCTCTTACTGGGATGTTAGAAGTCTAATGGGCAAAATAAGTGCTGAGTTTAACTAGCAATATCTGGTTGGAAACTTTCTTGGCAAGATTTCTGCATGTTTTTGGACGACCAAGTTTTTGACCTAGGTCCTAAAGAGCGTCTTGTAGTGCCTTTGTGAAGAAGAAAGCATATGGCTGTTAGTCTTCAAGTGAGCTCCTGCAGCTGCTGTGGATTTCAGCTTTGTAACAAGCCTATGCTTTGTATTCAATCCAATTGAACTGAAAATAACCTTTCTTTCATAGTGGTAGACCTGTTTCTTTGGTGAGCTCTGTTTCACGTGAGGCAAATGCTGTTTGCCTCTGGCAATGAGATAGAGTGGTATAGAGATGGGAGCTGGGAATCATTTATCTGGTGATCGTTGCACTGGTGACAATTCTCTTTCAGTTCCCTTATCTGTACAATAAAAATAAAGGTAACTTGTGTGTTGGTTGGTGAGATGGTTGGATTGTATAAGGAGTAACTATCCCTGAACAGACCACAAATAAACAAGTAGTTCCATCATTAGGTGAGGGTTGCAGAGAAATCCTGTGTGAGCTGTCCTGATTGTTGGAGCACTATTTTGTGTCAATATTGAATGAAGGAAAAAGACTGGAAAAAAGTCTTGGGATATCAACTGGTCTAAAACAGGACGAGAGTAAAAGTTGCAGGGGAGCTCTAGATTCTGACATTTTGTGAGCTACTGGTTTTAATCATTTTTGCGGTGACACTTGATGTCTTGTTTTAATGGTACTATATTAATGTGCTTGAATCTGCAGACCATAGAATCACAGAAATTTCTAGATTGGAAAAGACCTTTAAGATGATCAAGTTCAACTGCTAACGTAACACTAACCAGACCCTCACAGTCTGTCGAACATCTGATTGAGTAGACTGTGCTGTTGTTGACTGAATGACATGCATTCAACTAAGCTCTTAATGTGAAATCGCGATGAAAACCTGACAGGTTTAAATGTAAGGCGTGAGAACGTGAGGTGTGGTGAGGTAAAACTCTAATCGGTGTAGTTACAGGTTTACATATAAAACTTAAGGTACTGGTGCAGGTTGATGGTTGAGGTCCCGGAGACACGGTTCAGACTTGGTTATGTAGGTGCTGGAAGGTGGGTGGTGGTCAGTTTGTTTGTTGAAGTTTAATCTTTGTATTTATTTGTCTATTTAGAAGCATCTCTAGTAGAGACTGTAGTTTTCCAAAAGTCCTATGGGACAGAGTAATTTGTTGAAGTAACAAATTCATTGCAAATAAGGTCTTTTTAGGAGTGTGCTTTATTGACATAGCTGTAGTGCTCTTACAAAACCTTGGTTTAGCTGAGTCACTACTGTCATCGGCTGTGGAATGTGTCTGGGTGGGAATGTTCAGCTGGAATCTTTAAGGAAAAAGTAATAGCATCAAGCCGTTTGACATTTGGAAAAGGCAGCCTAAATGATATTAGAGATCAGAAAGTGATGACCCATTATGTGTCCTAAAACCCTGCACAAAAGTGTAGTGCAGATCTTTGTGTTTTCCATTTCTTCAGTCAAGTTAAAAACATACTGAAAGAGCTGGTGAAATATGCTCATTGTGAGATACATTCCCAGCTTTCTCTCATAAACTGAGATAGGTGAGGATTTGTTTAGAAAATAGTTTTTTTGTTTTGTTTTTAAACTGGGCATTTTTTAGTATTTTCATTGATTTTAAAACCAAGAAGCTTGAATGGGATAAATCCTAACAGGTGCTGCAAAAAATGTCTTATTTTATAAGAAAGTGAAATACCTGAAAATAGAATAGGTTGAAGTTGTTAATACTGTCTCTGTTCTTCTTTTCCTATTCTTTTTGTTCTAGTGTGTGTGTGTGTACAATCTACTTTTTCTGTACAGTGCTCAGGCCATCCACTAGCAAGGGTGTATTTTTAACAGAAAAAACAGTCTTACATGTTGAGAGTATGTAACATCTGCATTTAGTCTGGGATTTTGGAGAGCAGTTGTGTCCATGTTCCATTTACTTTAAAGTTGTTTTCATATTTTGCTATGGGAACTGGTTAAACTTGTGTAGTAAGACCTGAAACAGTATATTAACAAGATTTTTGGCATGATTTCTGTAAATATATAGAGGTCAGGAATTCTGTGGCAACATGTATGAATTAAATTATTTTGTAAGAAGAAGGATTTCTTTTTGGCTCTTTGGGGTGGCTAAAACTACTTACTGCAACACGGGGTGCGTTATTTTTTCAGTAGTTCTGTTTCAGATTTCTGAGAAACGGCTTTTTTATTTTCTTTTTTTCATGAAGGATTTGTGAGATGACATCTGGGGATAAGGATATCGCTGTTCCTTGGGGTATATCACCTCTGTCCCACCTCTGTTAAATTGTAGTGATAATCCATGGGTGTGGACACATGAAAGCAGCCTGTTAAAGAGCTTTTTGATATTAAGCAACTGCCTAATAAATTCTCATGTCTGAAGACTGAAACTGGACAAATTTTAACTAGACTAAAATGCAGTCTGTAAAAGAATCAGACTTTAGTTAGTTAGTTACTTCTTCAGCTGTTGCAATCTTTAATTCAAGTTTGGTTTTTGTTTGTAGTGGTTCCTGGTGGACCAAGCCAAAGAATTAAGTGAAGTAGGTCAGAATAATAACTTTTAATAATCTCTCCTAGCCTTAATAGGTAACCATCTAGTGTGACTAACAGCTAGCAATAAGCTGAAATGACAGAACTGAGATTGCATTTGCAAGGTCTGGTACCAACTTACTTATTTTTCTATAAAACCCGCAAAATATTTCAACATTTGTAGCTCCAGGTAGTATAAGCACGTGACCTTTTCAGAGGATTGTACGTATGGGAAGCAATCTGTACACCTGGAATGAAACCTTACTTCTCATCTCGTTTCTTGCAGAGTCTGCAGCAATCGAGGAGTCGCGCAGAGCTCAACTTCAGAAGTGCTTTACACATGAAATCTACTGGCTCTCTAGCTGATTCTGCCGTGTCGCCATCTCAGCAGGTAGAGTGCTTTTGTGCCTGAGCCATGCAGCAAGCGTAGCTGTTCCTGGTGTGGTTGTCCTGTGTCACTGTGTGGCCAAAGGCACACTGAGGCCTTTGGGTTTCTTCTTTGGGGAATGTGTCAAGGAAGAATGCATGGCAGATCTGTCACAAAAGTACTCTAAGGGAAAGCCTAGTAGTTTCGGGTTTTATGTTTTTTTGATACTCAGAGTTTAATAGTGAAGGAGGAGAGTGCTCTGTAATTCCATCAGAGCTCCTGTTGTAAAATGGAACAAAGCCAGACACATGGGGCATCAGTGGAGGGTCCACTTCAGTGGAAGCAGTGTTCTGCTTTGGGTCATTTTCCCTTGAATTCTTTTTTTTTCTTTCTTTCTTTCTTGGGAGGAAATATCTTGCTGAATTCTCTGAATGGGAGGAAGATGGTTTGCCACGAGGGAGAAAGGAACTCCTAAGGTGTTACTCAAAAGAATGCACAGTACAGGTCAGCTCCTGTAATAGGATGTTTGGGGGCAGGTGTAGGTACGGAAAAGCTTTTCTTTTATAAGGTTGACATTAAAAAAGTTGCACTTACAATTCTAATACTCACTATCTTTGCTGTAGGTAGTAGTTTCTTTTTGTTTTGGTCTGGTGTGTTTTTTGAGTTAGGTGGATAGCTTTAATTTATGCTTCAAAAAGCTGTTAGTACATACTCCTTCGATGCTAGATTACTGATAAAACTAAAAGTTTTCCAGAAGTACGTATCCCCCTGAGGTGTTTTTCTTGCTGAGAAGCCAAGTTTTGAGCCTGACCTTTTTCTGCCTCTTTTGCGTAATCTATATAAATCTCTGTAGACTATGACACTGCGTGTAAAAGTAGCACACTACTTGTATACTAGTTAGGGCTTTAGTAATTGAAGCTCCTTCTCATATGGTCAGTGATTAACAAAAAAAATGATGTAGGATTGCTTTAGTATGACCAATATGTGCACTTACTACCAGGCCGGGAAGATGCTTTCTTCTTTGTTGTGGCTGAATTTATATTGGAGAATGCAGTGAACACTTGTGTGTCCAAATGTTTTGAATATAGTTTTTACTTCTCTGATCTGCCTAGTTGTCATAGAAGCCAGAGTTGTATTGTTGAACTCAGGGGTGATGGATGGTGATTTTTAGCCTATCAGGTTGACATCTGAAAGGGTTCTACTTCCTAAAGGTATACTTGATGCAGACTAGTTTGAAGAAATACAAGGCTTCATAAAGTTCCTGTCAGGAACCTCTCTTTGAAATCAGAAAAATTGCATGAAAAACAAGAATTGCCTAGTACATAGGATATTAAAATATGGCCACTATGGCTCTATTACCTCTGCTACTGAAGCACATACCTTTAAATTTGTCACCTCTTAGTCATGTTATTTCACGTTAATAACTAGCAGTTTGTAATGTTGTTTGCTGTTCTTTTGAATTGACCATTGTAAAGGGTAGTTGGGAATCAGTGTAGCATTAGATTGACTTTGCTGTATGTCCCTGTTTCCTGCCTTCCCAATGCTATGGAGAGACTTTTAAGCAGGATTTGAGGTACCCAGCTCCCCAGTATGAGGACAGTGGCAGCTCTGACTTTGGAGAAGCCTCAGGATGGGGCTGTTTAACCTTAGACTTTGTGGATTCTTGAGGAGTAGAGTTAGAGCTGCCTTTTGTTGGTCACCTCAAGCAGGGATGGCAACGGGTGGTAGCATTTGTCAGTCTCCAGTTGAAATGGTGTTGAAGACATCTTGCTAAACATCCAGTTCATGTTTTTCATCATTTATTTGAAAACTGTTAAATCAAAACAGCTCTCAAACCAATGAACCCGAACCCAAAAAGGGAGTATAACATGCATAACATGGAAGGTTAATGTGGCCCTGCTATTGTGGTAATAGACTGAGGTCTTGGGTTTTAGGTACAAAAATTGTTACACTTCTTGTGCAGGATAGGGATGACAAGACGAGAAATCTTACCTTCTAGAAGACTGCAAATCTCACTTAAAGCATTTGATAGTTAGAACTGTGAGTCAAGGTGAATGATAGTTATTCTCCCATGCATTGTAGGATACAGGAAAATAAAATTGTTCAATAATTATCTATAGTACTGCCAATTCTATTTTTGGCAGAATATTGTAAATATATTTTTGTTCCTTTTATAATACTGCTTTCTACCTCTTGCCCTGTTTTTCCTTATCCTTTTTTTAACCACTTCTCACTTATATCTCTTTCACGTGGACATTTCCTCTCTGAAAGTTCCTGCATCTTACCAGACTTGTTAGCCACTCTTATAGGCAGAGACCTCTGGGTAAAAGCTGGAAGCTCCAGAAATATGGCAGCCTGTTCTACAATCTCCAAACCAAAGGGGAATTTTTAAGCATGGTTTGCATGTATTTGTCTGCTCGTGGGTGGATTTGGATGTGCCTGGGAATTTAAACCTGTAGTACTGCTTGTGTCTCTCTATTCTTCTACTTCCTTGAACCATTAATTAAAGAACCTGTTGGTTTATTTAGTTGAATTTGGTAGAGGGAAGACTCCTAAAACCAGCTGAGCTTTATAGGTTTGCTGAATATAAGGTAGTTGAGTAGTGGAGTGTTCCAGCAGCAGTAATACTTGCTGTGATTTCCTATCTTACTGGAACCAAATTTGTGTAAGTGAACAGACTTTGGGTTTGATCACAGTAAGTACAGCTCTCTGTACTTCGTGGTGTAGAAGAAAGTGAGAGCTCTCACTTGCAGCTGAAGTATTGTGTGTTGACTGTTTGAAACCCTTATTATGCTATTTTAAATGTTGGTGTTACAACAGCAACTGAAAATCATGTGGCTGTAGCAGCTGGAATGTTAATCCTTTTAATTATGACAGATTTTCAAAGCATGTTCTGGCTGATTTGGTCAGCTGACTGTATAGTATGTACAATAACATCAAGTGATTGCACAGAGGCTGAGAGCAGTGGTCACCTCACTGGAACAGGATGTATTTTTAGGTTTCTCTGCTAGTAACAGTCAAGTGTGTGTACTGAAGCATCTCATATGAACTGAAGCTAGTTGCTGACACCACACTATCAGTAAAGGACAGCTGTTCGTTCTTGCTATAGTAATCGATCTGACACTATTTCTCACCAAATTGTGGCAAGGAACACGACGGGGTAAATATGTTATTATGGTACATGTTTTAATGACAGGTATTTTTCTTCAGGTCAGCAGTGATACACTGTGCTAGCCCTTTCAATTTTCTGTATCAGAGCAACAGAAAGCACTTTGCCTTCAGCAATAATTTTCCTTCTCTGTCCTTCAGCCAACATTTTTTTCCTTTAGAAGGCAATGTTTGGGAAGAGTGTGAGTCTTGCTCTCAGTGTAGTACTAGTGATAGATTGGTTCTGGTTCTTCAAAGGAAAATGATTCATATGTGGATGCTCTTAATCAGTAAATCAAAGAGGTGCTATCTTCTGTGGTTCACAACCTTAGCTTACAAAATGGAGTGACCATTTGTTGTTTAATGAATGTGCAAATTCTTGAGGTCTCATCCATTATTTCACCAATTTGATAGGATCATTTAGTTTATTTTGGCTTTGGACTTACTTTGCAATTTGGTAATTGCATTATATCAAAAGCCTTAACTAGTTTAAGAAGTTCAGGAACTCAGGACTGCTCAAAACAGTTGCTGAGTTTGAAGCCCAGGTATTAAAATTAAAAATGCAGAAAAAGGGTGTTTTATTTATATGTATATGTGTGTGTGTGTGTATATATAATGACTTTGTAGTAAGCTATAAATAAAATGTGACATTCTGACTAAATTGAAATTTTGGAGCAGGTGCTGTGAAGTTAAGGCTTGTAAGGGCAGGGAATTTTAGTGAATGTCCTGCTGATGGTCTGCTCATGTCCAAAGAGATTTTAAATTATACATTTAGTTAAGGAGCTAAAGGATTTACATTTTAAGGGAAATGGCAGCTTATATCAAACTTCTTAGTGATCAATAAAATTGTAATTTGCAGAACCTGAGAGAATAAGATACTCGGCTATTTAATTGATTGCATGCATAACTGCTTTGTTATAAAAACATTTGCAAGTGTATAGTACAGAACTAAATTAACACCTACTATTGGTGAAACATGGTATTTTAGTGTCTGCTCTGGCTTTTGCTTACTGCCTGTTAGTGATATTTGATGTTTTCACCAGGTTTTGTCATCTCCTTACACACTTCAAAATTCCATTTGCTTGTGTGAAACTATTAAGTTTTGCTGAATATTAGCTTGTGTGAAAGGAGTCCAGGAGCCTGAGAAAAACCAGCGTCATGCAACTCTGGTTTGACAATCTGACTTGTAAAGCCCAACATAGCGTGCTAGGAGGATGATGTTTTACTGTCACAATAGAATGCTGGTCTGTGTAAGGTCCCATGGGCTATTTAAGGATAGTATTTAATGATGGTTGACTAATTTAGGGTATGTCTACACGAGGGTGCAGGCAAACATGAGCTCCGTTTGACGGTGTTCGGAGCTGCCTGCGTGAGGGACCAGCTTTGGCCTGGGAGCAGTAGAAGCGTGCTAGCGCAGCCGTGCAGGCGAGCTAACGCGCCTGCCCTCTGCTCCAGAAGTGGCTTGCTTCTGGCCGCCTGAAAGGGAGCAGAGTGCATAGCTCTTGGCAAAGTAGGTAAACAGTGTGTGTGTGTGTATATATAAGTAAACAATATATATATGTAAAATATATATATATATATTTGAAACGGAATTGTGGGTAAGTGATTAAACTAAGCCTTACTGCTACCAGACTGCTTGTTTCATGGGAGCAGGTATGCCTGTAGATATATGAAGCGCGAGGGCTGGGCTCTGTGAGGACTCTTGCGTTAAAAACTGGCAATTGTCTTTTTCAGAGCTGTTTCCATTCTGTGTGAAGCACTTTAAAACACGCAGACAGCCTGAGAGCTTCCCTTTGATCTCTGCTCACCTTGAGGACTTGAGGAAAACCAGAGTTTGGCTTCAGTATTGATGCAAAACTGAAATTTTCTTTGGTCTAGGAACAGGGTAGGCTGCTGTATTTAGCAGGAATTACTTAGAGAAGGCTTTGCCGGAAGAACTAAACATACCTTGGAGAAGTCAAATAATCTTGTCTTTTTCATTCTTTACTGAACGTGTTTCAGCTCCTTGCAGTAGATGCTATCTGACTTAATATGCAAGTTGAAGGCAGGTTGTATGCCAAAAAGGTTTGCTAAAAAGTTTAGCAAGTCGGTCAGTCACCGAGTTCAGTGACTGATGCGCTTGACAATTTATTTAAAACTTGTTACTCTGTGTATAAATACTAAGCTACGGTGGGGAAAATTCAGCTGTGTTTTGCCTGCTGAGTGTGGCACATATGCTTCTTTGTTAGAAGTGTTCAGGAGAGTGGGTGGCTAAAATATTTGAGTTATCCAAATTACGACGGATGGGGGGGATGAGGACTGATTGCTACTTGAAGTTGGCATGAATTTCAAAGCATTAAAAGAGTACAAGTGAGTGAAGTGTCACATAGATTTCTATTTAAATGCTTTAACTTAGAGTGTCTATGTCTGTTTTGTTTCCTCTTACCTTCACTTTGAACAAAAGGAATAATATTAATCGGTTCTGTTTTCACAGTTTAAGTAAAGTTGTAATGGATTAAAACTGAAGTGTTTAGTCTGAAGACAATGCATGAGAGCACTTGTTAGCTAGTAGAATAAAATGAGGTACCATTTCTTCTAGTCATTAAGTTCTGTAAGCACTTTATTTGTCAAGAAAGTTGCTGGGGGTGGGGAGTGAGGAGAAGATGGACCTAAGCACTGTATTTCTGACACGGTGTATGGAGATTTGGCTCTGTGCCAGTCAATCTCTGATATCTCTGAACTGTAATCTCTAGTGGTATCACTGCAGAGAGGGAGTTTGTTAGAACACAGGGGAGAGCTTGGTGCCTTGCGTGGGCCTGCACTCCAGCTAGTGAGCAGTTGAGAGCATCTCAGAGTATTGTACAAAGACACAAAGTTTACTCTCTTCTTTTTCTTTTTTTTTTAATTTTTTTCTTTTTTTCCTCCCTACCACAACAAAGAATTGAGGTGTTTTGCTTGTGTCAATTTGTAGTAATAGATTATGCAATTAATTTTATTGGGATCTTTATTGCTGTTTGGCCTTGTTGCACAAAGTTTTTGTGCTACCCTTACACGTTGAACTGCTGGTATTGTAATCACGATGGCCATAGGATGCGTTAATAAAATTACCTTTTCTAGGTTGAACTGCAGGTATAGATGGGACCATGTTGGGTAGTAAAGTTTTATGTAAAAGTTTTCAGTGAAATAAAAGGACTTATTAAATGTGTAGTATAATTGCTACCCTTATGCAACAACTACTATAAAAGTAACGGAGAAGCTATAGGCTATAGCAGAAGAAAAAAATGAAGAGTGAAGGGCTGTTGTAAAGGATTGCTGTCTGTCAGAAGCATCGAGGTGGGGAGAATGGGACATGACAGGGGATTGAGATACATGCTGAGAGCTGCAGGTTGCCTTAAACAGCACTGCATGACGAGGGTGTCAGAAGCTTAGGTGCTAGCAAGCAGCCCAGGGAATAGGTTGCCTCTGTTTAATTTAGAGAACTGGAGATGAGGCTGAATCTGGCTTCCTTTATCTCATCTCCCTACTCTGTAGAGCTGTATGGTTTATGATTTTAGGTAGTAGGCCATAGTCAACGGTCATGCTTTGTTTTCTATTGAATGATTTATTTGCAACAGGCAGGCGAAAAGAGCTGTCCCAGAGGGAAGGATTATACAGTATTTTTAGGTTGCCTATATTCTACCTGGCGAATAAATGCATAGAATATATCTTCAACTCTGATACAAATACGTATCTTTAATTTTCAGGTGAACTTTTAAACACTGTTTCTTTGGGATAAAATGTCACATACTTGTTCTCTTAAACTGATCAGTTGACATTGTGTTGACACGTATCTCTCTGTACGCTTAGAGCATACAGAACTGCAAATAACTTAGTAAATATTAACAATATTGAGGTAATATTCTGTGCTTTTGTCTTCCTTTCTCTTCACTCAGAATTGGATTTACAGTCATGGAGGAACATCAACAACATTTACACTGTGTGAACTGTGTCAGCCGTCGTTGTATGACCAGACCAGAGCCTGGCATTTCCTGCGATTTGATTGGCTGCCCCTTGGTTTGTGGAGCAGTTTTTCACTCGTGTAAAGCTGAGGAACATCGCATGTTATGTCCACTTGAAAGAGTGCCTTGTTTGAATAGTGGCTTTGGATGTCCCTTCATAGTAGCCCGAAATAAAATTGCTGATCATCTAGAAGTTTGTCCCGCAAGTGTGGTGTGTTGTACCATGGAGTGGAATAGATGGCCAGTCAGTTACGCAGACCGAAAATCTTACGAAAATCTGAGTAAGGATGTTGATGAAGTCGAACAGCTAGATATGGCTTTAGCCCTTCAAGACCAGCGCATGTTATTAGAATCACTTAAAGTAGCAACTATGATGTCAAAAGCAGGTGATCAAATACCAGAATCCAGAGAGCAAACCTCTGTCAAATCAAGTGCCCCAGATACGGTGCATTCAAATGGTTTGATGCCTGTAGATGAAGAGTCCTATGGTGCACTTTATCAAGCTACTGTAGAAACAACAAGGAGTTTAGCTGCTGCTCTGGATATCCTGAACACTGCTACAAGGGACATCAATATGTTAAGTTCAAGGCTCTGCATTTCACCACATGAAATGAAAGAAGATACTGAGGTTAAAGAACAAGCTTCTAATGGCATTATTCAGGATAAAAAGTCTGACCATGAGTATCCAGATGAAGATAACATAGGAGCAGCTGGGGGAATGAACTTTGATAGCCTGAGTCAAAATTCACAAATGGAGCAAAATGGTTCTAGTGATATTTGTTACGATGTAGTGCAAAACCATGACTTAAATCTAAACCTCAGTAAGCCCTCACTTTTGTGTAATGGCTTTCATGTAGAAAATGAGTGTTCAAAGGTGTTGGACCAGAGTGAAGATCTTGGTGTATCTGATTCAGAGCCATCCAGTGTAGCAAACGGTGAATGTACTGCATCTCGTGATGATGAAGCATTTCAGTCTTGCAGCTCCTTCCCTGTAACAGCACAACTTAAAGAAGTAATGTCAGCTGATCACTTAGTTAATGGCAATGTTAATCATGTACTACTTCCCCATAATGCTAACGAAGAAGAAATGTTAGAGAGACAAGTGGAGCAAGAAAGATTGAGAAACGTAGATGCGTTCTCACTTTTACGGCATCGATCATACAAATTCCTTGTTAACCACTATTGGTCTACACCGAAAGAAGACAAAGCTGTTGATACGTCAGATTTGGAGATTACAGAAGATCCTATGGGTCTTCAGGGGATTGATCTAATCACTGCAGCTCTGTTGTTTTGCCTAGGAGACTCTCCCGGAGGTAGGGGGATATCAGAAAGTCGCACTGTCGATGTGTATCACGTTGACTTTGGGACCCAAACATTTTCTCTCCCATCTGCTATATTGGCCACAAATACAATGGTGGGGGAAATAGCTTCAGCTTCTGCATGCGATCATGCCAACCCACAGCTCTCAAATCCAAGTCCGTTCCAGACCCTTGGACTGGATTTGGTATTGGAATATGTGGCTAGATACCAAACAAAACAGCGTTCAATGTTTACATTTGTTTGCGGACAGTTGTTTAGGAGGAATGAATTTTCATCGCATTTTAAGAACGTGCATGGTGACATTCATGCTGGCCTTAATGGCTGGATGGAGCAGAGGTGTCCTTTGGCATATTATGGGTGTACATATTCTCAACGAAGGTTTTGCCCTTCAACACAAGGGGCAAAAATTATTCATGACCGCCACTTGCGGTCATTTGGAGTTCAGCCTTGTATATCCACAGTATTAGTAGAACCAGCTAAAAGCTGCTTAATTGGACTACACAATGACCATCTGAGTAGTCTACCCTTTGAGGTTCTGCAGCACATTGCTAGTTTTCTAGATGGCTTTAGTTTATGTCAGCTTTCAAGAGTGTCACGTTTAATGAGAGATGTGTGTGGAAGCTTGCTTCAAGCACGTGGAATGGTGATACTGCTTTGGGAGAAGAGAAAGTACCCAGATGGAAATTCTTCTTGGCAGATAAAAGAAAAGGTAAGTTAGTTTTTATTTTGAAGGTGAAAGGGGAAGTGTTAAATTGGTCAGTTCTCTGCTTTTTCCATTAATATTTTCCTGGATCATTATTGTTATTACTGTTTCTTGATATAATATCCCTTCAAGAAGGTTTTAACTTCTGATTTTCCTAAGATTTTAAAATATTAAGCTATTACTTTATGCTTTTCTTTAATATCAGTATTCCATGAAAGTGGGAAAGTTGCCTATCAGGTTTGCCTTTATACTGTTTACTACAATTTTTTGGTTTTTTGTTCATCTGTTGAGACCCTGTCCATTGCCATGACATTGAGTGCCTGAAGTATGTAGATAATTCTTAAAACCTTGGGGTGACCTTTGTATAGTAAAGTTTTCTACTACATTGTAGATGCAAAAAAAAAATTGCCAGCCTTTCTTCCCAGTGTTCCGAGTTGACTTGTAACCTGAGTCAACTTGAGACTAGCTATACAAATTTAGTATTGTATGTTTTTTGTCATGTTGATTTTTAGTATGATTTATAGTAGCTGCAAAACATTGCCTGAAAGTATTATAGCACGAATATTTACTGCCCTGAGTTCAGGTCTCTTCAAACATTTTGAGCCCAAGTGTAACTTACTTTCTAGGTTTGGCGCTTCAGTACAGCCTTCTGTACGGTGAAGGAGTGGAAGTTTGCGGACATCGTAAGCATGGCTGACCACCTGAAGAAATGTAGCTATAATGCAGTAGAGAGAAGAGAGGAGGCTGTTCCGCTGCCGTGCATGTGTGTAACACGAGAACTCACTAAAGAAGGACGTTCGCTGCGCTCTGTTTTGAAACCAGTACTTTAAATATTGCAACCACTCCAACTGCACATACACTCAAGCACCTGATATAACCTCGGTAATATTACGTGACACTTTAATAATGTACTAAAGATACTTTCTAGCTAAATCTACTCCGTCACTGTGTATATAAGGTTTGAAGTGACATTTATTTTTTATAATACTGTTTAGCTGGAAAGTAATGAAAGTTGCCTTAACGTTTGAAAAATTCGGAACTTGCTGGACAGGGTAGTTTTATCTAACTTATGTAATTTAAGAACAAAATCCTAAGGTGTGTTTTCTGATTCACTGGTGCCCATGTTGCTGTTGACTGATAACATTTCAAGAATGGCCTCTAAATGGTATGCACATTTAGATAGGAAACACTGAATTGGAGAGAGACAAAATCCTGACCAACTGTACTTTCTGTATTTGGTCTATGTGTTTTTAACAAATTATAATCCAGATATTTGAAAGGTAAGGAAGAATTCAAAACTTTATAGTAGATGTCTCAAACAGCTTTTAAGTGCATCTTTTCTCATTAAATCAGTGTTCTAGTGCTCTTCCTAGTTAACAGGTGATCTAGGATCAGCTTTTTTTAATTTTTTTTTTTTTTTTAGGAATGATCTAACTGAACCCAGATTTACAGCAACTTGATTTTTAGTACTACTTTCTTTTGACATATCAACAATTATTATTTTTCTTCTAAACTATTAACAGTTATTTCACTTTTGGGAGCAAAACTTTTAGAGCTAAAAACATGGAATACTGGTTTTTACTCTTGCACCTACAATGACATCGATATAAAACGTTTAAAATGTTTTTCCTTGTCCTGCAGTTGGCTGAGGGTTAAATTGCTTGAGCAGTCAGAAATTCAAAGTATGTGATGAGCAGTTACAAATTTATAATGCAGCTAATGAAAGGGCTTTACTTGTTTTATGGTTTTGTGAGATGTATTGTCTCCTGTTCATCTGTCTGTAACAATGCTGCTTTTCTGAGGAGCATTTTAATTTACTGGTATGTATAGAAAATGTATCATCTTCATAAGATGAGACATGATTTGTTAATTGCATGAGGCATATCAGAAACGTACGTTCAGCCACGTCTGTTAAGTGAACAACTCCAGTTTGCTTCCAGTCTTCCATAATAAAAGATGTTACAAAGCATTCATGAACAGAGCATACATCCTGTGAAAAATGGCCTGGTATAGCAAAACTGTAATCACTTGAACGGACTTTCCAACTGGCTTGTATTAATGTCGGTGTCTCCAGCCTGTTGCACTTAGCAACTGTGCCACAAAGCTAAAACAGAAACAGACCAGAGCTTGGGACAAAGAAATACAGTACATACTTCCATTATAGGAAAAAATAAGAGATTAGTAAGGAGATGTTTACAAAACTGGCTAAATTTATTACTTGTAATTTCTGTACTGGACACTTGTTTATGGCTAGTCTGGCTGCAGTTCACAACTTTGGTATCCGTGCATTTCCCGTTCTGGGTCCAGTCCAGCTAAACATTCACTGCCTTTTTCTATGCAGAGTGCTGCAGGTGCCCAGAAAAAAAATTAATCCAGTTCTTCAGTGCCATGAGTTGAAATTACAGCAGCTCAAACAGGAGTTCTGCCTGGATCTTCAAACTACGTGTTCTCTTTCCACACTTCCTATATTTTTGTTTTGTTTTGTTTGGAGAGAGGAAAGGAGTAAACCCTCTACAGAAGCTAGCAACATTTGCAGTAATTCTTAGCTCTTACCATAGTTACATGGCAAGGAGAGAATCTAGATGCTTGTACGAATCTGACTGTACCACCTGGGTTTTAGGTAGGGATTTTAAACCCTGCCCCACCCCCTGTCCCCCCCATTCTCTGAGTGAATTGAAATGCTCATTACCCACAGATTCTTCAGTACAAGGCGGGAGACAGACTTTCATCAGTTCTTGTCTTTTAGCTCTAATGGCTCCTTGCTGCTGCTTTCCCTTGTTTAAAAGTAGTTGTGTAACTGGAAGGATCCTGAATGTTATGGTTGTGTTTATGGCTAAATCTACTTTAACACATCTGTCTTGGGTTACTGGTATTTTTTTAGTCAGCATCGTGGTGGTTTTGGTACTCGGCCTTCTTTGTAACTACCCAGGACCTTGGTAAGTATGATTAGGCAGGCATGTGTCCCGGGCGCTTGGGAAAAGAGGGTGTTCCGTTAGAGGAGCTGGTGTTGGTAGAATCTCGCTTGTAGCACAGTGCAGTTCTACAGCTACAGTATCATCGGTTGTTGATCTATTGAAATGAACTTTTTAAGTACTTGGTGGTGTTCTTAAGAAATAACACTATTTCTCAATACATGCACTTTTGTTTTCAAATGTAGATACAGGCTTTTTTGTTAAATTAGTTTTATTTTTTATGAGAATCCAGAGCTATTAAAATATCAATGTTGTAAACAAAATCTCTGCCTTGTAAACTGCTCCAAATGCAGGAATACAATATAGTTAGGATAAAAACTGTTTTTTACACTGCTATGCAGTTTGTAAAACATCTATAGTGTATAGTCAGTCTGTCAAAATGTGGCTTGTTCACATTTGCCCTTGAATTTTAAAAAAATGTCATATCCCTTTCCTGGTACATCTTCCTTACAGCATTATGTATAGACAGCTGTTCCAGTCTTTCTTTTCCTTGATACCACATTGCTACTTTGTTTAAAATCATGATCATTTTCAATCATTATGCAATATTTTTTTGCAATGTCTGTTGAAATCCTAATAAACTTTTGGAGTTTCTCTTTTAGTATGATTGTACTTTTTTTAAAGCTTCCCACCAGCCTTCCGGTGTTCAGAGGTAGTGCTCAGTGTCTGCCTATGGGATTCCAGTAAGTACTCAAGAAGAATCAAGCTACATAAAGGAATCTATTTACAAACGTTTAAACATTGTATGATTTGGAAGAGATTAACATGTATCCACATTGATGTCATTATGAAGATCAATCATGCCTTTTTAGGCTCTACACCTATTTCTATTGCTTTGGTCTATTATGCAGCATAGATTTCTTTCCACAAATAAAAGATTTAACTACATAACACTGCAGACTCATATTGTACCTTATAGGTTTGTTTTACTTGCTTTTTCTTACTAGTAAATTGAAAAGATTATCTGACTGATAAAATACACATGCTACCAGTTTGCAAAGAAATCTTTCAGTGTATTGCCTCATGAGTAAAGTTTTCTGTAGGAAGTTGCTGCTTAAAATGGTACAGAGGCAAAAATTTAGGATGGTTTTTAAATAACAGCTGCAGTTCTGACTGTGGAATAGCAAAACATAAACCAAAACCTTATTAAAATAGAAAGCTCTGCCGAGAAATTGACCTTTTGCATTGCCATTTACTGAGTCTGCTAACAGTCTTTACAAATAAAAATGTACCTATACTACATAAATCTGATAATAAATTAATCTTAACTGTAGTGAGTAATGTGATGTGACTTACAGTTTAATTTGAGCCGTGGCTATTTTGCATCTTAGGCCACATAGCATTTTCTTTTTCTCTATAAATGGATTAGATATTCTGCTGTGTAAGGAAATACTTTCTGTTTCACTTTAACTTTCTCGATGCTTAGAAGTATTCTAGAGGATTTGCCTGTATGTTTTAGCTTATTTTTCTGAGAATACTACTGCTAAAACTATCTTCATAGACTTTTACCTGCTGAATGTACTTTCCTAAAATGAGTTTTAAGGTCAGGGGGGAATTCAGTGCTTGCTTGTAATGTCAAAAAGCTGATTTAAATTCTTTCAGTCAGAATGTCTCTTCAGGCATCCTGGATCATCTTCAGATGAGCAAAGTCTTGTGGTTGTTTACAGCACTGGGGAAAAAATGTCATTCAGATAGTGTTTATAAAATGTTATGGCATGTAAAGCAGAGAATGGGAGTCGCATAGTTTGACTGTTCGGCATGTGATGAATTACTGTAGCAGTCATCCAAACAGGGGAGGAAAGCTGAATGGAGAGGTAGGCTTAAAATAACAAAGGCATCCAGACCCAACAAGGAGACTCTTGTGAGGACTGTGTTTGTCACAGTGCTGGGAGTTTGACTTGTGCCTGTCAGAACTCCTGATAGCAGGAGTTACCCTGCTGCTATTTGAGCGCTACAGTGTGCTTGAGCTGTAAACTGTCTCCAAGCGCTGCCTGTATTCCTGAATCAAGTATTACTTAGGTTGGATGCAGTCCTGTCTCCCGAATGCAAGGTCTGCATTCGGTGTAGGTTCTACATGCTGGTGGTGTCGGAGGCAGTATTTGGTAAGAGTGATAGAACAATAAGGTCCTGTGGATATGGAGAATTCATTTGCATGGTTGTCACCCGTGTTCCAAAAGAAGGGAACAAGGTGTTAGGGAATGCAAGAAGCAAATTAAGACAACTGATGGCATTCACTGTAACTTGCTAATGGTCTGGTACTTGAGAAAACATTAGTAATCATCATTAGATACACAATGAAATGTGACAGCAAAAGTCCCCACTTCTGCCATTTTGACAAATTCTGCCAGGCATGCTGTAGGTATGCAGGCTGGATATAGCCTCAGGTAGTAGAAAAATGCATGCAAAATGCACGTATGATTATTAACTGCAAAATACGGGTGGGGGGAAAGCTAGCATTTTAGGATGTAGGAATTCATATAAGGCTAGATTTGTAGAATACATCAGAAAGATGTGATTTCTGCCTTGAGGACATTTCAATGTTCTGGTTTCTGGTTTCGTCCTAAACTCTGCCAACAATTTATTTATTTAAAAACATAAAATGAATGAACTGCAGAAAAATAGTAGTAGGAAAAGCTGCAATTACCTTAGAGAATTATTTTGGTTTGACAGTGTCAGTGTATCGAACTGAGAATTTTACAGAATAAAAAAATGGAACACAAAAAGTGGGCTGTAACCAATGCTTTTCATTTAAGATTTTATATTCTCCCTCCCGAAGGTGTATGTTTTCAAGCTTGTAACAAGAGAGCTGTCTTCAAGCTTATTGTGATTGAAATGGAGAGAATTCTGGTAGTGCGGTG